CTTATCTCCAGTGAAATATGGAAAGCTTGTACCTTTCTCGAAAAACCTGATTATCCTTTTCAATCAGAGATAACTCGTGGGAATTGCATTTTGCTTTTGTGAATATGCTTTTCAATCAGACATAGCTTGTGGGATTTTTGCATTTTGTGGCTTTCTCACTATTTTTGTTTTCACTTGGAAGGAAAATGAACTCACCTTGGAAGGTTTTTTATACAACAAAAACTTCTCTACCAAAGAATTTAAACAAAACAAAGCTCTCAAAGAAAGGTCTTGGTTCCGTATTCGACATCACAACACAAGATACTCCCGAAACTAGACAAAAGTTTAAAAACAAACAGAAAAAGGAAGAAAATTGAGATACTCGCGAAACTAGACAAAAGTTTAAAAACAAACAGAAAAAGGAAGAACAAAATAATGTAACAGGACTATTATCGCAGCACGAAGATGATATACATTTTTATGTCTCTTGCCTCTCCTTTAGGATTTCACCATTATGAGTTCTTTCTTCTGCACCTTATGATAATAATGAAACAGATTGGCTGCTGAAGAAGCTTCTTGTTTTCATTCAAGGTAATCTGCGAATGGCTCGAGGAGTTGATATTAGTGAGAAAGAATTTCCAAAAGGCGGGATTGAGCATCTGGAGGAGTATCTCTTCCGGGAACATTGACCTTTAGAAGATTGGAATACCTGCAAGCCAAAGAATTTGATTTTAATTAGTCGAGAAACCGTATTAGCCTCAATCTTGTGTTTATTTCGATAAGTTTTAGGTTAAAAGGAAACAAAGTTGAGAAGCAGACTCTGTGGGTGTAAACATTTGGTCGTGTTCTGCTATGAATGCGAGCAACGCCTGCAGAAAATCAGGTAAATATCTGAGGATAAGAAGAAACCAAAGGAGAAACCAATAGAAACAATTATTTTTTGCTAACCTCAAATGGCATGTTTAATAGTTCATAATAAGTACGGACACGATCCAGGTTCTGTTGTACGGTATCACCATCGATATATGGAATAGCTGCCATGGCCTGCGATGTAAAATATACACAAATGTAAACACTGAATGCTATTGGAATTGCTTTAAAATAGTGAGCTCGACACCTATACATGACTGATCTTTACCTGTTCCACTGCAATAGTGTTCCGACATATTTGTTGAACTCCAAAAAGGTTGATTGATCTCATGTCAGCCAACGCCTAGAAAGATACGTAATAAGAAACTGTTACGGTTTAGAAGATGATGATGATCAATTATTAGAAATAGGCTTGTGCTTTGACATTTGAACTAGCAGTACCAAAGATCATATAAATTTCATTACAGTAAACAGGTTTCAAAGATAAAAAAACGAAGAGGTGTACCTTAATGGACGCATTTGCTGCAATTCCACAAATGCCACCAAAAACGTAACTGCGCTTCTCACCAGAGATGAAAGGCGCCATTCCCTCGTCCCTACGTGTTATCTGTTCAATAAGAGGAAACCAGTTCAAAACTAGATTGGACACTAAACAAGAATGTAGTTCACAGCAATAAAGTAAGATGACTTAATCATTTGGCTAATTAGATTCTTTCAGCAGAAGAGAGTGATACGAATATTTGATGGCTATGAAACTAAACAAGGCTCATTAAAATGTATTCCTGGAAGTGTGTTCTTTTCTTTGAAGTCTAATCATATAATCATATAACTAACCTGTGAAGTAAGAGAAATCACAAAGTCGTCTGGCTCTTCAGCATCCTCATCCTCCAAGTATTCCCTATTCGTCATTTCCTTTTCAACACCATAGTATTCCGTAAGTTTTACATGCCACAGATTGAAATTCTCAAAGCCATGCTACCTTTCTAGCAAAGGGAATATCCATCACATACCTGAAGATGAAAGACTGTTTCCAATTGCATCTCAACACGAAGAACCTTTAGGCAATCAGTCGCGAGTTTTCTGTACTCATCAGTAAAATATGCCAGATTCTTAGTAGAAGCTGCTTGATCCCTGCTATCACTTTCAGCTTGACTTGCCAAACGAGGAACTGCTTGTCCAAGCCTAGAGATGTTGGAAAATCAAAACTTCAGAAACGGTTTTCATTTGAAAGGAAGAGAGAAGCATCTTGCTCCACATGATTAAAGAGCACAATAAAAAGGGTAAAACAACATTCGTGGAAAACCCATCGAACAATGCAAACTTCTCTTTTACATTGAACGCAAATGTTTCTAAGTTTCTTTAAGATTGAGCTGGAAAGACGGCAATCAATCTTGTTTAGTCTCTTATCTATCCGTTTGTTTTACTATGCATGTTCCTTTTTCCTCCTCTTTTATAAAATCATAGAATTTCCCATTTTTCCTTGTGTCCTGATAACATCTAAGATCTACTGAGAGATGAAGAACAAGACAGGACATGAAGAGGCATGCATAAAGAATCTGATCCAAATAACTCACCTCTCAATAGAGTCTGCCACGTATTCAAGTGAATCACTAAGAGAAGCTAACAAAATCAATTTGTTGTCATCACGAATTAGATTATCCTGTGAGAAACACACTTGGTTAGACAATCTTCACCAAATAAAATAAAAACTCTTACAAGAATAAGTTTCAGAAAGCACATGAAATTACCTGCTTGATAGGTCGCAAACTCAAGAATAGTTCACTGAGTTCTACTTCGGTGCCAGCAGACTCGGAGTGAGAAACAG